CAATAGTACCTTTCCTATTGGAATGGGCTAGTCAGAGACGATAGAAAGGGTAGAACTTGGAACAATCAACATTGATAGGGAAAAGATACTCAGCAAACTATTAGGATTGAGGACAGACAAGTTCCCTGGGCCTGATGGCCTAATGGCCTACATCCTACGGCATTAAAGGAAGTGGTGGCAGAGATAGTGGATCCATTGGTTACAATATTCCAAAATTCCCTGGACATGGGAAAAGTTCCAGTGAATTGGAAAAATGCTAATGTAACACCCTGAGTCAAAAAGGAAGGGAGGCAACATGTGGTAAATTACAGACCATTAAGTTTAACATCTGCTGTTGGCAAACTGTTAGCATCAAATGTCATGGAAGCAATATCGGCACATTTGGAAAGTCAAAACGCTTTCCATCAGACTCAGCATGGTTTTATGAAGGACAAATCATGTTTGCTGGAGTTCTTCGAAGATGTAACAACCAAAGTGGATAATGGGGATCCTGTAGATATCTGGACGTCTGGAAGGCGTTTGATAAGGTGCTGCAGAAAAGGTTAATTCTGAAGGTTGGATCATGTGGGATTAGGGGGAATTTATTAGCTTGGATAGGTGGCTGGCTGATGACCAGAAGACAGAGAATCAGGATAAATGTTTTTTTTTCTGGGTGGCAAGAAGTAACAAGTGGGGTGCCACAGAGTTTGGTCCTTGGACCCCGGCTATTTACAATCTACATTAACGACCTGGATACAGGGATAGAAGCTCTATAGCCAAAATAGGCAGGAGGTAAATTGCAGTGAGGAAATAAGAACCTTACAAATGGATATAGATAGGTTAAGAGAGTGGGCCAAAATGAGGCGGATGGAGTTTAATGTGGAAAAGTTGAAGTTATGCATTTTAGTTGGACAAATGGGGAGGCAACCTATTATCTAGAGGGGGAGAGATTTCGGGGTGCTCTGTTGCAGAGGGATCTGGGTGTCCTCTTTCATGACAGAAAACTAGCATGCAGGTACAGAAGATAATAAAGAAAGCAAATGGAATGTTGGCTTTTATAGCTAAAGGAATCAAATATAAAGGTAAGGAAATATTGCTGCAACTATACAAGGCATTGGTGAGATGGTATCTGGAGTATTGTGCACAGTTTTGGTCCCCTTATTTGAGGAAAGATGTAGTGGCATTGGAGGCAGGTCAGAGGAGGTTCACTAGATTGATCCCAGGGATGTGGGGTTGTCGTATGAAGAGAGATTGAACAGTTTAGGCCTGTACTCTCTGGAATTTAGAAGAATGAGGGGAGATCAAATTGAGATATTCAAAGTGATAAAACATATGGACAAAATAGACATGGAGTGGATGCTGCCTCTTGTGGGGCATTCTAGGATAAGAGATCATAGTCTTAGGATAAGGGGTTGCAAATTTAAAACAGAGTTGAGGAGAAACTACTTCTCTCAAAGGGTTATGAATTCTGTGGAATTTGCTACCCCAAAGTGTGGTGGATGCTGGGACAGTGAGTAAATTTAAGGAGGAGTTAGACAGATTTTAACTTGGTAGTGAGTTGAAGGGTTATGGGTAGAAGGCAGGAAAATGAGGGTGAGGAGCATATCAGCCATGATTGAATGGCAGAGCAGACTTCGAAGGGCTGAAAAACCTAACTCTGCCCCTATATCTTATGAAAATATGGAGCGTCAGAGGCTGAGGGCTGACCTTATAGAGGTTTTATAAAATCATGAGGGACATGGATAGGGTGAATAGAAAAGGTCTTCTTTCCAGGGTAGTGGAGTCCAAAACTAGAGGCCATAGGTTTAAGGTGAGAGAAGAAAGAATTAAAAAGTTTTTGAGGGACAACTTCTTCTTGCAGAAGCTGGTGTGTGTGTGGAACGAGCTGCCAGAGGACGTGGGACAGGCAGATACAATTACAACACTTAAAAGGCATGTGGATGGGTACATAAATAGGAAGGGGTTAAGAGTGATATGGGCCAGAGTGATATGAAATTGGGACTAGATCAGTTTAAGATATCTGGTTTGGCATGGATGAGTTGGACTGAAGGGTCTGTTTTTGTGCTGTATAATTCTATGACAATGTAAGTAGAAAAACAGGGAAGTCTTGTGAAAACTATACAACACCAGTTAGACCACGCTAGAAAACTGTGAAAGGTTTTGGACCTCTTATCTAAGGAAAGATATACTGGCATTGCATGCAGTCCAGCGAAGGCTCAGTAGACTGATTCCAGGTATGGAGGGACTGACTTATGAGGACAGGTTGAGAAGTTTGGGCCTATACTCTTTGGAATTTAAAAGAATGAGAGGTAACCTTATTGGCACACCTCAATTCTTAGAGGACTTAACAAGGTAGATTTGGAAAGGTGGTTTGCCCTTTGAGGAGGGTCTAGGACCAGGGTGCATAATCTCAGAATAAGGGGGTCACCCTTTTAAGACAGAGATGAGGATAAATTTCTTCTCTCAGAGGCTGGTGAATCTGGAGAATTCTTTGCTGTAGAGGCTGGGCTGTTAAATAGAATCAAGGCTGAAATAGACAGATTTTTAATCAGTATGGGTATCAAGGATTATAGGGTAAAGGCAGAACACTGGAATTGGGGAATATCAGATCAGCCTGATCTCATTGAATGGCAGAACAGACTCGATGGCTTGAAAGACCAACTTCTACTCCTACATCTTACGGTCTTAAGGGTGGCAGGATTTCAATTTCGGGTTGATGCAAAATGCTCTTGTGAAAAACACAGAGATAGAGAAACGGAATTCTTCTCATTGATCACAACTTGTTGTTTGTAAATGGGGGCCTTTCTTTGGTAAATATCCCACTGTTCCAGCTCCATCACCTCACTGTGCTACCACCTTCTCCTTCTCATTATGCTTCTGATGGTACTTTCAACACAACCCTTAGAAAGAAAATACAAAACTGACCCTCTAATGAGCTTACAACAAACTTGTGAATGGACTTAAGTAGCAACTTGAATAGAGCAAAGAAGTTCCCCTTTCTGGACAGGTGGGTTTGAGTGACTGACCACCCTCATGAAAGAATAAGGATTCTGTCTGGACAGACCATCTCTGTATCTAAGTGATCCAGGCATTTCTTTGTATACTCTCTTAGCCTTCATAAACCTTCAGGATGGAGAAACACTGAATATCAGGCACTATTTAAACAATTCTGGTTGCAGCAAAGTTCTGATCATTTAGCATTTGAAGAATTCTGGTCTCAGGATTGGAGGGCCACTGGACTGTGTTTGTTGTCCATGCAGTGTTGACTTAGATGCTGGTGGTACTTGGGTTCTTCCCTCTTGAACCTCAGCCATTCTCATAGAGGTAGGACATGCCCTGGTTCAATGTCAGGCAACAAATTCATTGAGCTACTTCCCGAAAACACAGCGTGTTACAGCCTTTTAGTCCGTTTAATATGAATGTGCTGAGCGTCTGTACATGAAACCTTGGAAATAGAACTACAGTTCGTTGTCATGAATTTATTTACACATCATCGACATTGACCTAAAGGACTCACAGAATAATATCATGTTAAATTAATCCAGCAGGGAGCCAGTAACATTAAAAGTTACACAGTTCTCTGGCTCTTGTTTGACAGAATCAATGCTACTTGTCAGAAAATCTAATCTTAACACCTATATGTGTGTCATGTTCATTTTAAAACAGAATGTTACACCTGCCTTAATTTGCTGCTCCCGTTTTGGCTCTTCTTTTAGATTCCTCTCCACATTCTGACAGTGTTTGACCTTGAGCTCGCTTGGGCTGGCGTGCTGTCGTGCTTTATATCTTCGGCTCAAATTTATTATTGGAGCGAATGTTAGACCATTGATAGAAAAAGTTATTTCCACAGAAGGGCATAAGCTTTCAGTCTCCAGTGCAACAGAAGCCCTTTAAAGTAGTCAGTTATTCTTACATTAAAATGAGAGGATCTGCATTTTCTGTGAAGTTCAAAAACTGCCTTAGCACGAGGTGAAGCTATTTGAGAAGTGATTCTCCTTTAGACAAAATCAAATAAACACACTTCTCTAAATTGATAGTGAGCACACAAAGGCACAGTTTTCTCTTTGTTTAAGCACAGGTTTACACTGATACATTTGGTTGATGTCTATGATTTTCTTGATTTCACAGCAGTTAGCTCTGAGGTCAGGCGATATATTAATATGCCAGGACTTTTGTTTATGTGACAGCTCTTTACGAATAAAAATCCTCCTTTTAAAGGCTAATCTGTCATTTAAAAGAGAGATGAATCAGAATTTAAACATGTCCCTGTATATAGTTAAAAATAACAAAATCTATGAAAGTTGTCACTTCTAATCCCTAACCATTTCCACTTAACAGATTGCTCCTGGGATTTGGAGTTGCCATAAATTTAATACCGCATTTTCTGAATTACTAAACAAAACCTTAGTTGTGTGTAAAGGTTAAAACCTGAGTGGAATACAAAGCATCAATGCAATTAATGTATTGAGAAAAATGCATGTTATAGTTTTATAAAATCAATTAACAATGCTTAGAACGCTACTGCTGAAAGGATTTTCTTCCTCTGTCACCTGTTTTTTGCAAGAGCTGGTTGTTAGCTCCACAGTCCTTGTCAAAACAATAATTTTAGTGGATGGACCCATAAAACAATTGTAAGCTGATTATTCAGCCATAAAACACATCATAGCTAAACTGTATTCCACACGCATGCTTTTTTCAGCAGGCATTGTTGGATCGGAACAGGAAATGTGGAGCATATGTTTTTAATCCGGGAGCTTCTGGTCTGTCTGACTTAAGTAGATACCAAAACAATGCAGCTACCATTAAACCATCGGGGAGGTGTTAAATGTTGTTGTCACTGTGAGACTTTGTAGAGATCTTCCTATGTAACATCATGAATGATGGCTTCTCGTGATAAAATCAGCAATGGATTACAGGGAATTTATGCATATGGTACCATTATATATACTTAATCACAATTACACACCTACAAATTGAGAGTATGAACTAGTAACGTTTTATATAGAAGGCTAATTATGTAGTTACGTTTATTAGGGATGAGGCACTCATTAGTTCTGTCAAAACAAATGTGTTTCAGCTCACAATTGCCATATGGTAGTTATCATGGGGCTTTCTAGGTGTGACAATTTATAAGCAGAAAGGTGAGAACAGACAGGGATCAGTTTAATGTTCCTGGGATTGTCATATAGGACACAGACACAGACAGTGAGGGAAGATTGTTTTTTACTGACATTTTTTCCGACAGTATTTTATATATATATATACACACATATGCTATACATAATATACAAGTCTTATCCTCAGAGTGAAAATTTATCATAATGTTGGATCTTTCTTTCTCTTTTCCTCTCCTCATTGCTTGTTGGTTCTCTAGGAGTTGGCTGCCATCCAATACCAGTCCCTGGTGGTTAATTTCAAGGAGGAACACAGATGTTGGATCTACTTGACCAGGAGGAGCACAGCGGATGAACCTGTTCTATATGGTGATCTAGGCTGCTTCCTGGACAGGTCCTTTTGATAGTGAATTCTGGCCAATCCTTCAAAAGTTTAGGTGTTTGTTTTGTGTTAACTTTTTACTGCCAAATATTTGGTAACTTTCGAAGTTGGAAATGTATTATCAGTCTGTCACAAAACTAAAAGGCTAAAAGGTGAAAGTACTCAGTCTCACAGGAGAGTTAGTATTGGCAGGAGTGGGTAGGTAACCCACATGATTTCCCCTCCCCCAACCTGACATCTGATCTCCTATTTGCCCATTCCCACCCTCTTTTCCCACCACTGCCGGATTCTGTTTTCCCCTCTTCCCAGCCTTCAGTTACCCGAACCAAAAGCCCTCATGGTGTCATGACTGTGAGACCCAGTCCTGCGTGCCTCTTGCAATAAACTGGCCATACGATTGTGTTAGGAAATGGAAAGCCCACCCACTTCAATGAAGTATCTCTCATGAGTGTGCTAATACACCTGTAAAACAGCACAGCAAAGTTTGTTCTTTAATTCTAGGTTTTTCTCTGTCATTGTTTGAAGAAACAGCATTAGGCTGCCCCAAAATTTACAGGTGTTGTCTCTCTATTGCTCATAAAGCAACCTTTCCCACAGGCCAAGATAGAGGTGACCCAGAGAGTTAGTATCAGTAGCATCAGTTCTAGACTGGTTGTACTATAGGAAAAGTTGCAATGAGCTCATAGGAATAGCAAGGGTAAGTGCAACACATCTGTCTCCATCACCATCAACAATATCTGCCTCTTCTCCTTTCACTCTCCCTACTATTTTCAATAATTCCCTCCCCTCGACATCCAATCACAATAGCACCCAGTCACACCTCTATTTCTCATTCCAAGCACACACACTCCTTCTTCTTCAGATCACATTTTTACACCATTCTCTTCTCAAACCCGCTTGCACAACCACTAATTCCTCCCAGCATTCCTTCCTCTCTTCATGTTCTACATACTTGACTTTCAATTCACCATTGCCCCATCCTCAGTCCATCTTGCAACACACCCACAAATATTTTTAATTTGCTAATTATCATCCTGTCTCTCTAAAGCAGCACACACAATCAAAGAGAGGAATACCTGATATTGTAGGCCTCAAAAAGCCCCAGAGATTAGTAACCCTGATTAAATAAACTTGACGCTCATGATTTTATGTGGCTGTATATTACCTTCATTTACCTCAGTAGATATTCAGCAAGCTTCATATCTTCAAGCTACATAACAGTGCTACTTTTGGATGCTTTTCGTAATGATGAGGGAGGATAAAAAGGACCTTACTCAGTACAAGCTAAGGTACTTACACAGGAGGCAGAGTCACCAGTGTCCATGGCTGATCTCTTCATGCATCTGTCCAGCTGATGGATAACACAGTGCAGCCCATTTAGCTATTCGCACTTCTCCTTTGAAGAAACAGTGACTCAATAATTAGAAGATTGAGAAAAGCATTTAAGTTGACACCACTTACAGTGAGTATTTCCCAGCTGTTCTCACACGCCTGTTGCCACTTTGTTTGCCTGCCCACAGCTTGAAGCACCAGTAAGTTTGAGGTTTTCGATGCAGCCTGTTCCGTCTGAAGTGCTGAGTATGATTGGCCCTTTCCTTTGGAGGAGGGGAAGACAACAGTAAATACATGTCAGCAGTACAGTCACTTATCCCAGAATGAAATGTGGAGTCTCTTTCTGAACAGATATCATGAATGACAGCAATCTCCTATTCCACCTATTTCTCCCAACACCTACCCCTCCAACACTATTCCTTCACAAGCTGCACAATCTGCTTGGAGAGATAACAACAATGTATATCATTTTTAATGCAATATAAGGCCCAAGGTGCTTGACAGGAATGTTATGAAACAAAGTATGACACTGTGGCCCGTAAAGAGATAACAGGTCAGATGAGCAAAAACATCATCAGAAGCAGATTTTAAGCAGTGTCTTTAAGAAGGAAAGCAAAATTGAAAGGGTAAGCCGAGTGGAGGGAGGGAATTCAACAGCTTTCAGCCCGGTTAACTTACAGCAAGGCTGGCTGTGGTGGATCAAATAGAATTAGGGATGTGCAAAAGGCCAGACCAAGAGGAGTGCAGACATTTCTGAGGGTTACAGGGCTGGAGGAGACAATAAAGGTAGGGAGTGGCAAGACCATGGAGGAATTTGAGAACAGGAATAAGAGAATTTTAGAAGCAAGACATTATGCAGACCAACAAACACAGAATGATAGCAAAATAGAAAATAGAGTCATAAAGTCATTCACTGCAATTTACAACAAATTAATCCATCAAAGTCCATATCTGGACACAATGCAAGTTAAGAGATAACAAGGTGTAGAGCTGGATGAACACAGCAGGCCAAGCAGCATCAGAGGAGCAGGAAGGCTGACGTTTCGGGCCTAGACTGTTCTTCAGAAATGGGTCTGAAGAAGGTTCTAGGCCCAAAACGTCAGCCTTCCTGCTCCTCTGATGCTGCTTGGCCTGCTGTGTTCATCCAGCTCTACACCTTGTTATCTCAGATTCTCCAGCATCTGCAGTTCCTACTATCTCTGAAACAATGCAAGTTAAAACAGGGACAGCGCTGTTGTCAAGTATAGAGGGGCTAAAATGTGACTGACCAATTAGGAGTACATTGCAGAAATCATGTCTAAAGGTAATGAAGGCGCGAATGAGGGTTTCAGTGGGAGATGACTGAATATGGGTGAAGTTAAGTAATGTCAGGGAGATGGAAATAGGTGATCCCAGTGACAGTGCAAATCGAAGGTGAGGCAAATCTCAGGATCCAATGTGACACCAGATTGCAAACAGACTGGCTTAATTCAGTTGTCAGGGAGAGGCTCGGAGGTGGTATATGGCAATGGAGTTTGTAACGGGGATTAAAAACAATTGAAGAAATTTCTGCTCACCCAGATGTCAGATAAACAGTCTGACAATTTAGCTACAGTGGAGTAGCTGAGAGAGATGGTAGTGAGATGAAACTGGGTGCATTGGACATGTGCAAGAACTAATGCTGTTCTTTCAGCTAATGTTGTGAAGGGGCATTATGTAGCTGAGAAATAGGAGGAGGCCAAGGATTGATCCTCAGGGAACACCAGAAGTAATGGTGAAAGAGTATGAAGAGAGGTTGTTGCAGTAATTCTCTGGCTACAATAAATAAGAATGGAACCAGGTGAGAACAGTGTACTGGAAACCCAGAGTCAAAAGTGAATAAACATTTAGGAAAGTTTCTCTCCAATCTTCTCAGGCAATCAGATTCAATCCAGGAGATGAAAGATGGATTGTTTAATCCTATCACATCACCTGTGATGCTGGTAATGGTCAGTCCAAGGATATAACGTCTTGTAAAGACATGAGCATTCGAGCATACAATTAGCAGCTTGCCATCCTGCAGCGGTGTCTGGGTCACCCTGGTACTGCATTGTTGGAGGGCATGTACAGCCTTGTGCCTTCAGCTGGTGGGTTCTGGTGAATTCCTCCCTCTTGCATCTGGCCTCCTGGCTCCCACTAGGTTTCCTGTGACAGGGACTGCTCCAATACCAGAAAGCAAAACATTCAGCTGTAATGTTCTCTCTAAGCCATACACGTATGTTGCTATGCAACAGCCTGGAAAGTTCCACATATATCATGTTTATTAAGTACTGTGTATGCAGCCACTCGAAGAAATGTTAAAGTGCCTTCAAAATTTAACTGCTTGCAATTTCAAAATTTTAAAGGGAACATTGAAAAGGATTGACCCTATTCTGGTAAGCACAATAATTTTTGCAAACTTACGGAAAGTGTCAAGTAATCCTCCAATTCTGGTCCCTTGCAGTATCTCTGATTTTAACTGCTACACCAATGAGCTATGACTGAGCCTCCCAGTCCCTAAGCTCCCCAAACCCTTCCATCTCTCTCTCTCTCTCTCTCCTTCCTATAAAATGCTGCTTAAAGCCTGTCTCTTTGATCAGGGTTTGGATCACCTACCTTAACAGTTCCTTGTGTTGTTCGGCGTCATGTAACTCTCCAGTGTAATGCCCTGGGACATTTTACTACGTTGAATGCACCATAAAAATGCTTGTTGTTGTTGTCAGCAGCTATCACTTGTTCAGATGCCACATGACAAGATCAAGTGACGCGTGATCAACCTCTAGGAATTCCTCTCAGCAGAGTTGACAATCCTATCTGTGGTGTCTAGTGGGCAGCACTGTACAGGATACCAGAACGTGCCAGCTTGCTGCTGAGTGAACTGACTATGAATTAATTGTCTTGTGAAGTTGCAGACGGATGCTGCGATTATCTTCGATGTTGTCGGCTGAGGAAGGGGAAAAAAAAAGACAAGGATAATACAGCAACCATTACAATTCAAAGGCACTTCATTGCACTCTGTGAGGTGATGATAGGTGCTATATAAATGCAAAGCTTCCTTTGCGCTGATAATTGCTACCGATTTATTTCAAACTGGAAGAGTTTGTAGATATTTGAAGTTTGGACATGTTTGGGCTCGCAATGATGTCTGTCCGCCCAGAATACCATCAAATGGTATGCGAGTTAATGGGTGGAGCCTGTTCCTGACGATAAGCATACCCCTGCAAATCAGCACTTTCACACAAGGCAAGATATCTGGAAAGACAAAAGAAACAACAATGTTGCTGTCTTGAAGATGCGGGAAGTACCTTAAATCAGAACAAAGGTGATAGTTAGGTGAGCAGCAGCAGGGAACCTGACCGTTTCAAGATTGCAAACATTTTTAGCTGGATGTAAGATTTATTGCTTGATTTTGTCGCCATCCAGTGGTAAATGGACAAACAGCAATTGTTAAAATGTAAGGGATTTTCTTTATAAAGTCAGCTCCTTTATTGTAAAACACTGGTCCCACAAAAAGAACAAATTAGTTTCTCTCTTTAAATGTTCTCGAATGTAGTCGTCTGTTATCTGACGTTTAGCCTGAATATGTTCTAAAATTACCTTTGTTATTTAAAATGATTGTTAATTATTAAATACTTGAAACAACACAAAGCAGGGATAAGGGAAAAGAACAGGACACTGGGACTTAATTAATTGTGCTTTGAAAGAGTTGGTGCATACTTGAATACTTCCTTCGATGTGGTACAAATTTATGATTTTATAATTACATTTAATATAAAATGAAAGTTGACAAGCAATTGGAGCATAAATTCATCAAAATGATTTTATTTGAGAAGTTATTATTATGGAAAGCAGGCCAGTGAAACCTATTTTCTAAAACAAATAAAAATATTAAATATCTTCTGAATTATTCCCCTTTGAGTCAGATTTTGGACCTAAAACCTCCTTAAGTCGACTGCTCCAGGAATTATTTCCCCCAAAGCTAATTATCACTTTAAGACCTGATCAATGACTTTGAATTGGGCTCAAGAGGAAATGGCTACTGCGAAACTGGGGAATTTGATGGTGCATGAAAGGACAGCAAATGTGACATGCAGGATGACTCAATGAGGTGTGCTGCAAGATTTTGGTTTTCTCGGAGTGGGTTGATAAAGGGATGAAGTCAGTGTGAGTTAGTAGTATGTCAAATCTCACACTGCTCTGAGGCAGGCTCCAACATGTACTACATTTGCATTCCATGAACACATTTGCGTAAAATGTTTTCTTTAATAAAGTTTCAGGTAGACCAAAGAGTGTCTTTCACCGAGTTGATCTTGACTGAGTGTTGCAGACTGACACATTCCAAGCTCCAGGACTATCTAGAATCCCTGCAATGTGGAAGAAAGGCATTCGGCCCATCGAGTCCACACCAACCCGCCAAAGAGCATCCCGTTCAGACCCAATCCCCACCCTATCCCTCTAACCCTGCATTTCCCATGGCTAAGCCACCTAGCCTGCACATCCCTGGACAATTTTGGACAGTGGGAGGAAACTGGAGCACCCAGAGGAAACGCATGCAGAACACAGGAAGAATGTGCACACCCCACATGGACTGTCACCCGAGGGTGGAATCGGACCTCGGATCCCTGGCGCTGTGAGGCAACAGGTGCTAACCACCGAGCCACTGTACTGCACCTGTGATAAGGGATACACTAAAGCTTGGGGCAGCTACCACCAAAACGCAGTGGGCAAATACCAATGACTGAGGTCTTTCAGCCGATTTTAAATGGGGGTCCGTTTGGATATCAGACCCCCAGTGCCTCAAATATATGTAAATATAATCTTGTACAAGTAAGAAATGCCTTGGGTTTGTTTGTTGGATGGAGTCAAACTCCAATGTTTGTTTGTTTTTTCATACGCTATTGTACAGAACTGAACTGTTTGCAGGACTATGTATGTATATAAAGATATTTTTGTGAATAAAGTATATTTTTGAACTAAAAAAGTGTTTTTTTTTTAGTGAAGCCCCTACAGTCAAGATAAATTATAGAAGAACCCCATAGTGTCTGAGTGACATTTGCTTCAAGGTGCTGTGCACTGGCTGTGTTGGAGCTGAGCAGATTGCTATGTTGATCTTTGCACTAGAAGGGGAGGGAAGCAAGAGAATGGCAGCTTACAGGGCAAGGCAGTAGCAGCAGGAGTGAGTCAGTGGTGACAGGGAGTTGTGTTGGGGAATGGAAGAGGAAGGATTGGGTGTGGGGTTGGGAGCAATGAAATGGGATGGGTTTGGCTTTCTGGAGCTGAATGTGGCAGTGGTGGGAAGGTCAGTCAAGGTAAAGAGATGAGGATCTTAAAGGGCAGTGTCAGTCCTGTTCAAATGTGTATCCATCTCAGGGATGTTGGCTAGTGCAATCCTTGATAGTTTCAAGTTCACCAACAGTATTTCAATCAACTGCACTGAGAATAAACGCAATGTCCTTTACAATTGCAGGAAATTCTGGTCTCCCTGCTACAGGAAGGATTTTGTGAAACTTGAGAGGGCTCAGAAAAGATTTACAAAGATGTTGCAGGGTTGGCGGGTTTGAGCTATATGAAGAGGCTGAATAGCCTGGGGCTATTTTCCCTGGAGTGTCAGAGGCTGAGGTCTGACCTTATAAGAGGTTTTATAAAATCATGAAGGGCATGGATGGGGTAAATAGACAAGGTCTTTTCCCTGGTGTGGGTCAGTCCAAAACTAGAGGGCATAGGTTTAAGGTGAGAGGGAAAAGATTTAAAATGGACCTAAGGGGCAACTTTTTCACGCAGAGGGTGGTCTGTATATGGAATGAGCTGCCAGAGGAAGTGGTGGAGACTGGTACAATTACAATATTTAAAAGGCATCTGGATGGGTACATGAACAGGAAGGGTTTAGAGGGATATGGGCCAAATGCTGGCAAATGGGACTAGATTTATTTAGGATATCTGGTTGGCATAGAATAGTTAGACTGAAGGGTCTCTTTCCGTGCTGTACGTTTCTGTGACTCTAGAACTCTATGACAATGCACAGGAGAGAGGACCAACTAAATGTATAAGTTCAGGGGTGTCCCATGGAGTGACAAGTACAATGTTGGACACGAAATGAATGTGCATTAAAGAGTGAGTGCAAACAACGCAACATTGTTTCTTCCACAATACTGAATGTGTCACTAACTCCCCTGTAACCATCAATGTGTGACAGCCATGAGGTGTGTTAGTACATTTAAGTCTCAGACTAATCTAGTGTCAACAAATACTGACAATGCACATATGATTAAAGGAAAATCAATATCATGTGAATCATTTACAAATGCAATTTAAATTTGGAAAAAAAAGTACTAGTGCCACTTTTGTGCTCTCAACATGTTTAATGCTCATGGCAGTGCCGTTAGGCAGGAATATTGTAACCATGATGCAAAGCTTCCCTGTTTGACCAGGAAGCTGTTTTAGATCCCTATATGTCAGTGGACAGTGACCTCTAAAACATTTCCACTTCCATGTGATCACAGAGTGTCTCCCATAGACTCTTCTGGCACTTGAATTTTTATTTACAATCATATGGGAAACAGAAACAAGCACGAGAGGGAGTGCAACACAATTCTTGTTCCACAGCCATGATCTACGTGGCACTGACAAAGTTCTGCTCTGTGAAACTAATTCACTCAATCTCACTTCAAGTGCCCACTACCAGTATAGACGTGACATTAAGAGCTGAAGAAAGCTATCCCTTTGGCAGGTACCACACTGAGTAAACCATATTGTGTATTGCTTTTGTATTTTTAGAAGCAGCACATATGTTTATTAATTTAACTATATTTTTGATACCACAATGCTGTCCACAACAAAAGGATATGCAATTGAAGATTTGTTTTGTTTGCTTAAATATCAATCTCTTCAGTGCTTTGGAGGTTTGCTCAGGTCTCTTGCTGTTTAGTTTAGTTAGTTTTGTTCAAAGTACACTCGGGTACATAGATATCTTAGGAGCAATCCCTTAGGGATGAATGCAATGACTGTGGCAGTCAAGGTTAGCATGGCCTTGAGTATTTTCTGATTAGCTCCGAGTCCTGAATGTCAATGTTGAATTTTCAGTGAGTTTTTATTATGCTTTTCCTATTGGAAATCCAGTCTACCAGACCTTTTTACAGAGTGACAATGTGAGAATCCTTTGTGTACCATCTCACTTCAAATCCAATCATACCAGCAAAAACCAGCACAAGGTCCATTCCTCAACAAGAGGTGTTAGTGAAGGGAGACAAGGCTTCACTGCCTTGATAGATCCAGAGGAGCTCCATTAAGCATGAAAGACATTTTATAATTTCTTGCAGTGCCCTTCACACCTTCCCTATTTCAGAAGGGACTGGAAATAGCATCCCAGAGAGGCATTGGGAAACCTGGATTTATCAGCAGCAAGAAAGGACTTCATTGTGCTGGCTTCAAGTCAGGTCATCATTAGTATTACTTTCCTTTCATGTAATTTGTCTTCTTGGAAATATTCCATCTCGACATTCTGCTGCATGTAACTTTGTAAACTTTGTATC